CAGCTATCTATGAAGTATATGCATTCCTCAGGGTAAATTAATGAATTGGTAGTTTGGTTTATAATCAATATCTTTTTACTTTGGTTAAGAATCCCTTCCCTAGGGCCCAATCTATTCAGCTCGGTTCAATAAACACTTCTTCAGCATTTACTAAGTTCCAGGCCCTTCCTAGATCTAAAAATGAGCACAAGGTCAATGAGATGCAGGCGCTCCAAAGTAAATCAGAGGAGATACACAAATAAGCAACGAGTTCAAAATAATACAGTGAGTATAAATGTGATGCTATGTACAAAGTATTAAGAAAGAACACAGGGACAAAGACAGCTTCACAAGACATACAAGCAGAGACTTAAAGGAGAAACAGTAGTTGGACCAGTAAACCAGGATAAAGTAGGAAGACATTATAGGTAAAGTGAGTAAAAGGAGAAAACCCAGAAACATGAAAAAGCAAAATGCGACTATGTATAGGGTATACAGGCATGGTTGTTGTACAAAAGAGGAGGGAGGGAGGCAATGATGAGTTAAAAAAAATCTAGAAAAGCAGGCATGGATTGGATAGTGGGAGACACTACAAGCCATGATAAAGAGCTTGATTTTTTTCCTGTAGGAAATGGGGAGGCTTTGAAGCAACTTAGCACTGGCATGCCCAGATAAGTATTTTAGACAGATCATGTGGTGGCTTTAAATTCACTTTATTATATATTTGCTGAGGGCTGCTATGTGCCAGGCTTTAACTCAGCAGTTAAAAAAAGAAAATCTTTGTTTGCTTGAGGTGTAGCAAGTAAATCCCACCACGTTCAATAAGCAAGATTAAAAAATATTAGCAGCGAAAAGGGCAAACCATGATAAAACTTTCTATCACTAATATTAACTACCAAAATGCCTCTGCCATCTTTATATGCACTATAATACATCAGGTACAAATAAAGTCCTTCTCAACATCATTAGTCATCAAGGAAATGCAAATCAAAACCACAACGAGATGCCACTTCACACCCACCAAGATGACTATAATCAAAAAGACAGATAATAACAAGTGTTTACTAGGATGTGGAAAAACTATAATTCTTATGCACTGCTAAGTGGGAATGTAAAATAGTGTAGCTGCTTTGGAGCACAGCCTGGCAGTTCCTCAAAATGCTAAACATATTTACCACACGACTTAGCAATCCCACTGCTAGGTATATACCCAAGAGAACTGAAAACATATGTCCACCCTGAAAGTTGTACACAAATGTCCACAGCAGCATTTTTTATAATAGCCAAAAACTGGAAATGACTCAAATGTCCATCAACTGATGAATGGATAAACAAAATGTAACATATCCACATTTTGTTTTTTGCCAATAAAAAGGAACTAAGTACTGACACATGCTACAACACACATGCTAAGTGAAAGAACCCAGTGACAAAAGACCACATACTGATACACAAAATATCCAGAATAGGTAAATAGATAGAGATAAAAGGTAGATTGATGGTTGCCTGGAGCTGGAAGGTTGAGGGGGTGACAGCTAAGGGGTGCAAAGTTTCTTTTTGGGGTAAAGAAAATGTTCTAAATTTGATAATGGTGATAGCTGCACAGCTCTGCGAATATACTAAAAGCCATTGAACTGTACACTTCAAATGGGTGAACTGAATAGTATGTGAATTATATCTCAATAAAGTTGTTTTAAAAAACCTAAGCTTCAACAGTGTGTTCAAAATCCTTATTTCCCTTTCCTCATGAAGCCAGATGACATCCTTCCCAGCACAGAAGGTATTATAACATTAGAGGGCTAGAAAAATACCAACATTCAATCTTCTACTGGCAATTCTTTTTTCTAGAAAAACTAATATTCCAGTTGTTCAGTAGAAAACAATTTATTTCTACGACATCCAAACAATAAGAGAACATAAGCTTTGACCCTGACATAAGCTTTGATCTGGCAGAAAAGGTGACTTAGTCTTTCAACAACATCAAAATCTAAGTTTTTCTGTCTGATTAATCAGTTTCATCTTCTGTATGTCTCAACCTGATCGCTACTGGTAAAAATTACCAATAATTATATTTTAGATGATAAGCTCTTGGAAGCAGAACAAGAAAGAAAGTGGTTAGATTTCAAGTAAGAAGAACTGGCTTTATTCTCTGTCATGTAACAACCATGTGGCCTTAGGCAAATATTTAACTTCTCTGAGCATTTTTTAAATCTGCAAATTGGGAATAATACCAGTTCCACCAGCCTCTTAAGCTTTCGGTTAGAATCAAATGATATTCACTAACAGTCTCTAAAATTGTTCATCACTATAAGGTGAGCTAGGAAATCTGGGACCCTGAGTACGTATCATAACATCAAATGTTTAATAACATGAAGTGGAGTTTCAGAGCAATAAAAGTCAAAAAGGAAAATAAAAAAGACACAAAAATTAAAATACTCAAACTCTTGGAAGGTAGGGGACATCTTTATGCTACATGAAAATACAAGTATGAGAAAGAAATTTTATATGAAACATTAAGATCCACATTTTCCTTAGGATTTCTGAAATATACTGCCAAAAAAATGATGAATTGTCTATTGTTAGAATTATGAATAAGTTTTAATTGCTGACAATTCTACAGTTGATACTAAGGTAGCTTTATTTGCTTGGAACCACACTCCGATGAGCCCAGGAGTGAGAGGAGGTAAACATACTGCTAAGAATACTAAATAATGGTGGAGAATAACACACAGAAAATTCACCTGTGAAAAAAGTGAACGTGTTTGCATGTAGACACGAGCAAATGTGTATTTGTGCAAACAATAAGTGGGTTCAAAGTGACCTGCTATGTTAATGTGTGGGTCTCAATACCAGCCGAAGTTAGTTTTCTCATCCTCGTATTTTATTTTTTCACCCCTGGGCTCTCCAGTATTGCAGTAAAAATTCACACAGGCATGCTATTTGGTTTTACTGCAAATATATGGCTCCAACATCAGCTGGGATCCCATGGTTATTTGGAAAATCGTTTTCATCTCCAGTCTTTTCCTCCTTATGCTTTTTACGGCAGCTATGAGCATTTAACATTTTTTCTCTAGGCCTCGCCCATCACCTACAAGCCCCATCTTTACTGATAAAAGAAAACAGAGGCCATAGGATGTGTTTTCCTTCAACCTCCCTTACAACTTTATAGTAGCACCCACTCTTTATTCATTCCTCAGAATAGTCGATAATGTGATTCATTGTTTATTGAGCATTTCCCATGTACCGAGCACTGGGCTGAATACTTTACCTTAATTTAAATCCCACAATAATCTTACAAGATAAGTATTTTTGGTCCCATTTTTTACAATGACAAAAGTGAAGCTCAGGGGAGCTAAGTAACTTGTCCAAGGTTCGTAGCTAATGAGCGGTAGAAAACGGATCTGAATCCAGGTCTGTCAAAAACTATGTCACTCTGCCTCTGAAAACTGTTCTAATGTCTGACCCAAGACCTTCACTTCTACACAGGGACACCACATTCATGAATTATTTTCACTACTGTATGATCTTTCTCTCTTTCCTAACCAATACTGAGAAAAGATAGCTACATGGCTATACTTAAAGTCAAAAACAGGGCTTATGCATTTTATATGTTTTCATTTAAAAACATATTTAAAATAAAAGCATATATATTAGTTATATTAATAAAATTTTTAACAAAATGTCAATATATAATTTAGATCTTCTTAAACACACATGGGGTTAAAAGACTGATTTCTAATGAGCTTCCAAGAAAAACTCAAAATATCAGGTCATGCTGATAACAATGTCACCTCCTTCTTTCTGTTCATCCACAGAGTGAAAAAGAAAAATGAAATTTCCTGCTCCTTCAATTTTCCAGTAATTTCTCAATCTGACAGAGATTCATTCCTTCAAAGGTAGAAAGTGTTTTAGCAACATCTTCCGATAGAGTTAATGCTTTTAAGGACCATGTTCTCTCTTTAACGGTCCTGACAAATGGAGCCCTTAACTGGCTTCAATAAGTTTTCTCAAATGACTTTTAATAAAACTTCTTCTAAGTCTTTAATGGCTCATTCTAAGCCATAATTTATTGTGCTGCTTACATAGAAGTTTAATTCTCTACATCCGCATTGCATCAAACCCTTTTTCTTCAGCTGTTAAGAATCAACTTCAACACTGTAAGCCCCATGCAAACAAGGACTAGTCTGTCTTGTTCAATATTTTATCTCCAGCACCTACACAGAGGAGATGCTCGATAAACATTTTTGGTAATGAATGGTAGCAAGAAAACAAGTTAGAGAAGACTGTGTAAGCTGTTGTAACTTGTAATGAAATTTCCTTGGAACAGTTACACGAATCCTGTTGTTTTGTATACTACAGAGCATGACATCAAAATCCAGAGCCAACAATATCATAAGCTTCGACATTAGTTTGTTTTTACAATATTCAGTTTGAAAATATTTTAAAGTAGTTTTAAAAACATTTTTCTCGTCTCTTTTGATTCAAAATAAGCCAAATAGTGATCAGGGAATCATTTGTGTATTTTAAATTTACATATATAACATCTTTGTATATAGCTAAATCTATATCTTTAAGGACTGGGTTTTCTTTCATTCAGATGAGAATGTGGCTTCCTAAATACAAAAAAGATGTTAGTTATATCTGCAGCTCATTAACAGCTTGTTTATCACTGGTAAATCACTGATTTGAATCGAATCAATGATACAATTCAAGAACTCCATGCATATTTATTGTTGCATTCATTTTTAAATAAATATTGCAAAACATTACATGCAGTGTGAGAAATGTGACCTAAATGCTAAAAATCCCTGTAAATATCAATTCTTAATGGTAGGTTTCTTGTCTATCATTAAAGTAAATATCAGCTTCTTGTCCATTTTCAATTTTGCTGAATGCTACCCCTTATAAATTAGCTATAATGATTCAAAATATCTAGTTATATTTTTCCTATCATTTCTCCATTTTTCTCCCATCCCCTAAAATCATGATTTGAAAATTAAATGTAAGAACTATTTACAGACCTCCATCCATCCTTTTGGAGATAACTGAAGGCTCCATCAACAACACTTGCAAAGAACTGCCCTCCTGTGATGAAGAGGGTATTAATGGTGACTAATCGACCTCTTAAGTTGGGTGGCGAGACCTCGGCAATGTACACTGGCACTGTCATAGAAGCAATGCCTGCAAAGAAACAACAAAAAGTAAACATAAGACATTTATTTGAGAGATAGATCTCTGCTGCTGTTATTAATGCTAGCTTAAGACATACACACACACATACGTATATGGGCTTGGTTTTCTACTTTGAACAAAGATTTCCCACACAGTTAAAGATCTGGTTATAACTAGTGACTGCTGCAGAGAAGTAAGGACGTACGTGAGATATAAATCTCTGAGCATCATTTTTTCATATTATCCCTTGAAAGCCTACAAACGAACATACCGCTGGAGATCCAAGATAACTTAAGAATGCATATAAGTATGCGTTATAATTTCTTGAGGACTGAAAATAGGAAAATGCTCTCCAGACAGAATATAATTATTGAAATATTTTTAGTCTATATGGAAATGTAATCAGACAATGGTAAGAAAATTATCCCGGAATACATATTAACTATTCAAAGCCATCACTTACAGTAGACACACCAAAACTTTTAATTGGTTTGCTAATAAGAAATCTATGCATTAAATCACCTTATTGAATTGGGTAGGTGTACATTTCAGAAACAGCTTACAATGGATAGTACTTCGGGCACTTACAGTCCTCAAAAACAAATGGTCTTAAGCATAAAATAGATAGTTTTATGGTTAAGGCATATTTGGTTACATCTGCTTTAAATTTTTTCTATCTAAAATCAACGCAGCATAATCTATGGTAGTAGTTCTCAAACTTCATTCATCACTGGAATCACTTATGTGGCTTTTTTAATAAAGATGCCCTCACCTCACCCACCCCAGACGTACTAAACAAAAAACTGCAGAGGTGGGAGATGGGCCTGTCTTTTAAAAATCCCTGAGGTGATCCTGATGCTCAGCACATATTTTAAAAAGTACAGTTATATGGTATACAACTTTGAGCCAATCCAAAATTATTTCTTTAAAAAAAAATTCTTGGGGGCCGGCCTGGTGGCATAATGGTTAAGTTTGCACATTCTGCTTCAGCGGCCCAGGGTTTGTGGGTTCAGATCTAGGGTGTGGATCTACATACTGCCCATCAAGCCATGCTGTGGAGCCATCCCACATACAAAACAGAGGAAGACTGGCACAGATGTTAGCTCAGGGCCAAGCTTCCTCACCAAAATAAATAAATAAATAAATAAAAATCTTGGCCCTACTGGCCATATCTAGCCCATTTCCTAATGGTACTTCCAATTTCCAGATATATCTGATTATTTAACCTAAAACTCATAGCTAATCAATATTCTCCAAAAGCTCAGTGATAAAATTAAGCAGGATTACTTAAGAAAATTTAATCTTTTTATATCTGTAGGTACCATAAATCAATCCTGAAATTAAGCCAGCACATCAATGGGCTGCATAACAGACCCATGCAGAATTTCTTTGAATGAATTGATCTTTATGATGCCAAAAAATAGCCTGTAGTGAAGGTAGCCACACCAAGAAAGCTGTTGTTTTTTCTGTAAAAGGGATGTTGGAGGTGCTATTTACCACATTCTAGACAACAGAAGACACTTCTCTCTTGTCTCAGTAACTGCAATAGTTGTGCTTCTCAAAAACTGATTTGCATTGTTTACTGGCACTATAAATCACACAGCTGTCCTTTATTTCCCTCTCTATGCAGGCAGAGAGGCCCACCTCTACCAGGTGTTTTGGACTTCATGGTATTCTGTGAACTCAACTCCTTCCTGATGCCACAATCATCTCTGATGTCACCTATTTTAAATATACTTTTTGCTGTTTTCATTTGTTTTATTCTATCTTTGAACAAAGCAAATAAATAAATGGATAGATAGACACGGTTTATTTAAGTTATATATATCTGCTTCTGAACATTCACTGCACTGTTGTATAACTACTGGTTACTAGTTAAGTTTGCAAACAAGCCAACCATTAAGTCTCAGAACTATACACTCTGTCATTTCCAACAATGCTACTAGCTACTGTAGTGCCTGTTAATACAGGGTGATACATTCTAACACAGGAAAAGAATCTTACAATTTCATGAGTTTCATAAAATAATCATTTGTTAGTAGAAAAAGTATGAACAGCCTTTACGATGAAATCATCACCTAAACGGCTCAGAGTTTCCATCTGACTGCTAATCAGTTTAACAGCACAGACCATCCCAAATCGGCCTTCATCTAACTTGGGAAGAGGAAACACGTGCTGCAAGTGTTGACAAGTTAATTGTATATATGTCTCAGTTCTTTTACATAGAACATCTCAATAAACTTTCAAGAATTAGACAACAGTATTGTCTGTCTTTGACTGTTTGGATTTCTTTTTCTGCTCTGGTCTGGCTGTAAATAGGAATTCAGTTGCTCTCTTTAACCAGACATCTTTATTCGGCTACCAAGTCTGCAGATTTGAGTAGGGGAAATTAGGACCGTGGTTTTAGGCAGCACATGCTTGTCACAAAGCCCATAGATTTTACTTGATAGCAATGCAGAGATGTCCTCGGGTCCTCATAAAGGTAGACTATTAAAAATAAACACCAGAACACTGAAAAGCAACAGGTAATGGCAAAGGGAAAAGATTGACGAAAAAGACAGACTCACTCAATTTAGAGTTGGAAAGAACCCCAAAAGATCCGTCCAATGAGTGTTCGCATTGACTCAACACTGTTACAACTGACTACATTCTATTAGCTATTTCACTCGGACTAATTAGTTTATTTAATCAGAACATCCCTATAAAGGACATGTAATTATCCCCATTTTGCAGAGAAAGACTAGAATTTGAACCAGTCAGCGAGATTATAGAACCCAATTTTGAAAGCACTAGACTACACTGACTGATCCCCCACAGATGAGAGTACGCTCTGGAACCAGTGGCTTTAAATTCCAGCCTTACCACTGACAACTTACTTAACCTTTCTGGTCTCCGGTTCATCTATGTAATGGGAAGAATAAAAGTAACTCCTTCCTAGGAGTTGAGAGAATTCAATGAACTAATAGAGAGAAAGCACTTAAAATTGCGCCTAGCATACAGAAAGTAGTCAATAATTACTTCTGCTATTATTATAATAACTCTAGGTATGAGGCATTCTAACTTTTTCGACCCAGTTTGACCTGTGTTAGGTGCTGGGATTATTGGGATGAGTAAAAGTAAACCAAATAGGGTCCCTACAAGAAAGGACACCACACACAAGCTCTACTCACAAAAATATGTAATCAAATAAATAATTTCAAAATATCATGGTAAGGGTCACAGTACAGCCACACACTGGGTTCTAGTGATGTTGACAATGATTAGGTGGTAGCTAGGAAAGGCTGGGCAGACAATTCTGCAGAACAGAGCATGAGTATGGATGGTGCACATAACTGAAACCACGGGAATGGATGAAAGAGCCCAGAAATGGAAGATGAGAAGAATGTCTAGATCTGAGTCCTGAAAAATTCCAATATTTAAAGAACTGTTGGAGGAAGAAAGTGAGATGAAGCGAACAGCAAGAATCTATCTTACCCTTGAATACTACGTTATTTCTGAAGTCTTTTTACGTTACCATTTTGTATTATCAGGTAAGGTCATCCCATCAATAGGTACAACAGATATCGTTTATCATCCCATCTCGGAAGGGTAAGGAAACCCAGCCTTAAAGATAGACGAGAAGAGATTTTCAGAACATCACAAAGCAAGTTAATATCAAAGTGGGCCTCACAGATTCAGGTCCCCAAGTCTTTGTAATGTACCACTCGGGGACTGAGGGCCATGCCTCTGTTCAGAATGTAGCCCTTTGGAAATTTCTCAGAAACATTTTATTTTTGGCCCTATGACCTGAGCTGGCACACATGAACTTCTGGGGGCAGGAAGGTCTGATCTCTTCCCTGCCCTTACTGCCTGTTATGTGACTTACTGCCACCAGGTGTCACATTAAAGAGCTCAGACAAATTAGTAAGAAAAATGAGAACTGAATGTGATTAACTGCATAATTTCGAGTGAGACACATTTAAACCCATAAAAATGCTTTAGGAAAATGAAAATGGAGAACTATAAAAGAACGCTGATGATCAGGAGGAGCAAGAGGCTCTGTGTTCACTATACTCACATCTGTCACATCTGTATGATTGTGTTAAGCACAGGCCCTGTGAACTCACTTTCCTATCAACAAAACAACCCACGCAAACCAAAACGTATGGATTTCTAAACATTATCCCCACTTTTGAAAAACCTTGGACATTAAGGCTACGGCACCCCAAAATCTCCTTCCCACTTTGGAGAAGCAAATTGACTTCTGTCCCTAGATAAAGCTCGCTGCTCTAATGAAGGACGGTTAAGTAACAGTGTATGAGACCTCCAAAATTTAGAATTAGGTGCTTCATAAATGAATGTCATTAATGATATTTAAAGTTCAAAGAGAGTTCTATGAAGAGCTTTTGATTTCTTCTCTATTCCAACCACTAGTTAAATAAAACAAATGCCTGATAAAGAAAGAACAAATTCTAAATCATCCATACTAAACTCATGAATTGAATTAACCTAAGGGATGGAGTGGTCCAAGTTCCTGTTAAAGGGCTTATCAGAGTAAACGCAACCACAGAAAGCTGTGTTGGTACTGTTTTTGAATAGTTACAAAGTTCGATAATGGAAAAGTTTGTTTCTTGCAAAATAAAAAGGTGTACATCAAGGAAAACTCATTACCATGCTTGACTTGAAGAATTTCACCAAAAAACTTCCCCTCAGATGCTGTAGTGCAGCCCAACGCATACACCCTCACGCTGCCAAGCTGATTCACCACAAACAGCACAAAACACTCCTGAGCGCAGAAGTTGGCTTTCAAAAACTGCTGGAAGCCCTTTTAAAGCCCTGAGTCAGAAGTATAAATAATTTCATAACCAAATAGCATTAGAAAACCCTGTTGCGATGGGTAAATACCCATGAATCACAGCGGCCTCTCAGCATGATAAGCCAGGCTGCGACTAATTAGCTTCTTACAAGCACATGATGCTACCTTTTAATAAGAATGCTTCTTGAACAAGACAGATTAAGATGTCCTAATT